TTTAACATAAAAATCTTAGAATTAAAAAAGCGATTTGAAAAGTTCAAATAAGAAGTGCAAAATTAATTAGAGATTTTATTTTTTAATTATTATAATGTATAGAAATAATTAGTGGAGTCTAGCTGGGAGCTAATTGGAATTAAAAATGTAAAAGTAAAAGAAAAAAGAATTCTTTTAGTATGGAAAGATGAAACTTTTATATAACAGTTGAAAAAAAAATATTGGTTTAAGATTTTCGAATTTCTAAGTTCAAATGCTTCTCCTTTGAGTATTTAGTTATAAATTATAAAAGATATAACATATGAAATAAAAGGTATATAAAATTTCATTCATTTTACTGCTTCTATCGGCTTAATTCAAATAACTTGCACCCTGTAGTAGAAACCAAAAACAAAAAACAACAAAAAATTAAAAAAATGACAAAAAGCGGTAAAAATCATTTCGATCCGACTTCTGGTTCGAAAGTTGTATTCCTTACTAATACGATTGATCACATTTCTCTGTTTCATCATCTTAATTAATTTAATACGAAAAGAGTAGTCATTAAAATCACTGCTCTTCTTCACTTAATGTTTTGAACTAAGTCAATCATTGCAGTTTCTCAAAATTCATTGCATTTCTTCTCAGAATATTTTGAATATGTCAAAAACAAAAATTTAGGAATACCATTGCCATTGTATAGAACAATATAAATCCCAGGATTATAATAAAAATGAAAGTTAATTTAATTCAAACTGTTCTCTTGAACGCTTAAATTAATTTTGTAGAAAATAGTTGCGAATATTTCTACAACCACAAAATTTCTATTGGTAACTGAGCATAATAATTTTGCGTTTTTAATCAACTCTATTATATTGAGATACACTTTTATAATACATAAAACAAAAAAAAATGTAAGTAAAAAATATGCTAAAACATTCTTTGAAGTAAAAGTTTTGTAAAATCCTTTTCGCTGTGTTTATCACAATTAAAATGTTTACTTTACCCGCAAGGGAATTCTTAATTTCAAGGAATCACAAAAATTTAAATTATAAAATAATAAATATGCCAACTATAATTTGACTTTATGCTTTGAAGTTTTGATTTTAAGACAATGACTCTTTTAATTTTTGAAATATTAAAGTGTTAAGTCACAATTTTTCCTTTAAACTTTTTCATTACCCGTTTTTACTTACAATTGTGAGTAATAAACTTTAAGATTTTTTGCATGTTATGAAAACTAATATTCAAATTTACCTGAATTTATAGTACATGTTAATCTATAGGATAATTAAATTTTTCGACCCAATAGTTGTCCGTCGAAGTATCCATGGAAATAATTTAATAAACATAGTACACTTTATTAGCCTACAACACGGTAACACCTTCTTCTGAAAAATTGTTTAAAATAATTAAAATTATAGTCTTTAGCTGAAATTTCACATATTCTTTATGAGTTATGAAAATTATGAATTTGAATTAAAGCATAATAATTATGCAAAGCTCCTAAATTGAATTTTTTCTTTTTGTTGCGAAAGTTAAATAAAAATATTTCATCAACTTTTATTAAATAGATTCTTTAAATCGTTTGTCTAAAAATATTGACCTAATTTTCATGGAAGAGCTATAAATATTTCGTTAAAATAATTTTTGTAGAAGTAGAGAGGAAAGTGAACTCATATAATGTAACGTTAAATTACAATTTACTGCTTTTTCAAATTTCTCTTTTCTTTTAGATTTTTTTTTGTTGTTGGTAACTTTCGAATATAACCTTATTTTCAAGACAATATTCCCCATATGTATCATAAATAATGAAGACCCGTGCGTGTAACATAAAATAACTATATATATATATAAGTATATAGTATGTATATATATATATATATATATATATATATATATATATATATTATATATACCATGCATATAAAGAAAAGAGTATTCTTCCATAAAATTTTTCCACAAATCCTTTTCTCTTATCCTCTTGGATTTTTTGAAAATTTTCTTAAAAGAAAAGTATTTAACCATTGATATGAAGTTAAGAACCTTTGAAATTCTGTTTTAGTATTAACATACAATGATTTTCAAATGTTTTCTGAACTTGTCATTTCGTTTATATGATATGAAGGAAAAATTATTGAATTCGTTTAGATACTTATATAAAATATGCAGTTTAATACTTAATTTTCGACCTATTAACTCAAGGATAGCCAGCAGGACCATGAACGGTGCACATTTTTATAAATTCTCTTGCAGCACCGATAAAACTTTGGTTTTTTGATCAATATTGAGTATTGTTCTATAGATTGGTGGTGTTTAAAGGTGTTAATAGGGTTAACTATTAATAGGCGGAGGAAGGGCGGATAATCGACTCCCATAAAATTTTTGGAAATAATCGAATTAAAAAAAAGTAGAGAAAGCCAATATGATACTAGCAATACTATTAGTTAACGGCGTAATACTACTAATTTGGAGAGTATGGTCCCACATCGCAAGTATAACTGATTATGTAATATATATAAATTTTATTAGTTTATTTCTCTATCTGTTTTGATCTATGAATAACTTCAATCATTTAAATCAAACAAATTTTATTTCTTTATATTAATAATTGATTAAGACTAGGGGAGTAGCTCGTCTTCACATCTTGGGTCCAGCTTACTATTCTCGATTTGTAACACAAAATATTTGAACTACGTAGGATCGTTAGCAAGATTAGTAATAAGAAAAGTTTCGAAGTCGGAGATTCCAAAGAAAATATTTTTCTTTTCTGCAGTTTCTTTTGTGTAAATAAAATTTTCATAAAATTGATTTTCTAAATTTTTTGAAAATTTTATCCTAAAACTGACCAGGAACAACTATATATCTATTCTCATTATTTTAGATAATTCCCTGGTATCAAATTTTCTCTATATATGCAAATAATATAATTTTGTGGTACACCACATTCCTTTATTTATGTGTATATACTCGTACATGGAAACGTTTGTGTATTCTATCATTTCAAGCTCTGTAGTTTTTCAAGGCAACAATCATACATTGTAATAACAGCCATATTCATGTAAATATTTTTTTATATTAACCAAATATTATACAAGTTTTTAGCTTATATATTTTATAATCTGTGTAAAAATTTAATAATATTATACGCAAATATTATTTTTTTTATTTAATTTGCTTAATCAATAAAAATGAATGCATTATTTGGACTTCATTTTATTAAAATTTTTACTTTGTAAACATAAAATTTAGAAAATTATTTAATAATTTTAATTATTAGCCAAAATAAATAGAAATATTGAATGGATATAGCTTGAAACCATACGAGTTATTAATTAATAAAGCTTATAATTTTTTTATAAATTTTATTTTATCTACATCTAGCGTTAACTCTGAAATCATTAGGGTAACAAAAAAAATATTTAACATTTTAAACGAAAATATTGAAACGTTGAGTTATCACCACCATATCTGTATATAAAATCGGAATTTATCATGTGAGACTGGCATTATAGAAATTCGAAATGTTTGAGTAAGAAATTACACATCTTTGTAATTCAGTAAAATTCAAAACCAGTGTTTCTTTATGCATTTGAAAATAATTACAACGAGATCCTGTCCTGCTATTCAGTGCCCAATAAAGAAAAATCTCATAAAAACCAAAATAATTTTTTTAATTTGTAATATTATTAAAATACTTTTTTTTTTCAATTTATTTCTAGAAATGCGAAAAGTTGAAATACCCTTATGAAATCTTGAAATCTATATAGTCAAGGTTCCGAGCAATGAAGAACTCATTTTTTTTGTGTATAATTGAAAACAATTCTTCCCATAAATATCTGAAAATAAAATTAATACACATTAAAGTACCTTTGTGTCACCTCCGTCCAAATGATCGTTTATTTTACAAATCAACAATAATTAAAGGATATTCAATATACTTTTGTATCCTTTTATGAGTTTTACAAATTGCAATTAGTCTGTTTGTTTTAATTTTATTCAACTCAATTTAAACTTTCAATTATATTACCTGCATTAATAAAATAAAAAAAAAAATCCACTTTGTACAGTTGAGTAATAAATTTTAAATTTTTCATGTGCAAATAAACGCAAAAGATAAAAAAAAAATCTGATGTGGTCAGCATATAACTGACCACAATTTATATTGTCTAGTTTAGTAAAAATGATAGAAGAATATGAAAATGCGTTTTAAATATCTTTTTCAAATTTTGAGGACACTATCAAGCTTTTATTGTTCAAATTCTTCAAAAAAAGTAAATTTTCTTCTTAATAGCGTTTCGCTCTGAACCATTTAAATTCTTTGAGAAGTTCACCAGTTAGTTTCGTGTATAACTAGAACTCAAATAAAAAATTTCAAGAAATTTTATCAGTGAGTTCCAAAGATATGGTAAAAAATGTAAAATCGGCCACCAGTTGGGTTTCTTAGCCCTGATCTTTATACAAAATTTATAGAGTCATTGTTTTATCATTTCGAATTTAATGAAATTGGTTGCAAAAAAAGCCTTGTACTTGAGGCATGACATATTATAAAAACTGATCAATCCGTGACATTGCCGAAATAAACTCATATATAAAATATCATTATAATCGGTTGAGCTGAACTTGAGACACACGCGGTGTACACACAGTACACACATACCGACAGACAGACAGATTGACACTTCTCTAAAAGTCGTTTATTTACGCTTGCCTGCTATGGAGAAGTGCGTTCCTGCCAAAAAGTCGACATCCAAAATTGGGCGGTAAATATTGAAAAAAGTAATTTTTTTTGGCTTTATTTCACAAAAGATTGTGCAACTAGCTACGTGTGTCTGGAATGTATGTCTGCGGCCAATAAATCTGAAAATACATAAATAGAGTTGTCTGTAAAAAATAGTCATTAAATAAAAGCATAAAAATAGATTTAAAATGTTTTAATGTTGACAAAAATTATATTCTGTACCTTTATATCTTTCTATTAATATTATATTAATTATCTTATACTTATTGCATATATTTAGGATTAGGATTCAAAAGAGCTGTAAATGGAATTATGCCACTATATTTAATTGAATTATTTGAAAAACTTAGTTATAAAGAACAAGTTGCCAAAAATCGATATTTCACTGTGACATAATACCGTGAGTCATTAATTCGATATGAAGTGAGGGGAAGGAGAAATGGCGATTTATTTGAAGGTAGAAGTTGCGTGGAGTAGGAGTGAAGAGAATAAGAAGGAAAGAGGCCAGAGACAAGGTTTGTCTTAATTATATATTAATTATAATCAAGTTTGCAGTTTTTGATACAACAAATTCTGAATTAGTAGTTCAAGAGACTTTAACTTTTTAGGACAGGTTAGAAGATAAAAATTACTTACACAAAATGCCTAATTTCGTGCTCTTTTTTTTTAAGTTTATATTTCAGTTTCGAATTCTACAATGAATACAGTATAGCAATTTACTTTTAACACTTATGAAGAATTCAACCACACTGCTTCCAAATACGAAAAATTCAAAGAAATTCTCTTGTGAACAAATTTTTTTTAACATACCTATATTTTTTATTTTAGCCAATTTATTTCTATTATCAATCTGTAGAGAAAAAAAAACTCAATTTTCTATCTTGTTTTCCCAATTAAAAGATTCCACAATATTTACATATTGCAAAACCTTAAAAACATTAAAGATAAAAACGTGTAAAATAATCATATATTAAATATGCTGATCTCATTCCGTGATAAAAGTAGTAGAACGTGGAGCAGCAAGAAAGGAAAACTTTTTAACAATTTAAAAAAGAAGTAAAAAGAATGTAAGAAATTTAATTTTAAAACACATTAGATATAGAGAGTAAAAGAGAATAAATTGAAAAAAATTCGAAAATTCCAAGATAGAAAAAATAGAATAGGAATAGAAAATGAAAAAATCATTTGAAACAAAACAGCTAATGAGAAAAAAAAACTAGAACAAGTGGGAAAAATAAGACCGCCAAAATTCCTGAAATTTAGAATTGAAAATGTCCTCAATTCACCTATTCTATCATCTAGAAAACGTTTTAAATATAAAATTTTCTCTTGGTCCACATCGTAAAATATAAAAAAATAAAAGTTGTGCAAATCAATTGTTTTTTTGTTTTAATTAAAAACTTTTTCAATCTAAAAATCTCTAAACTATTTTTGAGTAAATTCAAAAGTTTTGTAAGCTTTTCCATTTTCCCAATATTGTTGTTGACCATCACTTGACAATTTGTAAACATATTTGTTTTTGGTATACTTTAACAATTCGTAGACGAAATCATTTGAAAAATTTTAAACTCCCTTTTCTTTTTGAAATTAAGAGTGTGGTTCTTTAGTCTTTGAAATGCAATGAACAATATTTTTTTAAAAAATCTATTGAATATTTGAGTAGAATTAAAGGAAACGATTTTTTGAAAATTTAAATTCTCTGTAAATTTTAAGTAGCCATAAACAGTAAAATGTAAAATAAATTATAGATCGCTAAGGGTTTTTCAAAACTATTAAGCTTAAACCCTGAGAGTAATTGTAGCCCATTTTAAATCAGCAAGTGGACAAATGTTCTATTATTACTTTCATATCTAATATTAAATAATAAACTATTATATTATTATTAATAACCTCGGCTACCGGGGCCATTATGGGTTTTAATTAATCAAAATTAATTTGCCTTAAAAATTATATTGTAAGAATAATTAATTGTTTTTATTAACAATTCTAATTTAATTTTACTTGTTCTTTCTGAGCATTATGACCTTTACAAATTATTTCAATTGTTTACTTCATATAACAGGATTCATATAACATGTTGCTCGTAACAGAACATTATATAAAAATATGTTTAATCTTTTAAAATATTAGAACAAGGTGAAGTACCTATCCTTATTAAAGAAAATATGTGAATTTGAAATTCCTTGCATACTTTTAGGGAATTATTTACAATTTTATTACATTTTCTTATAAAAGCAATTGCATAAATAAAGAACGTTTGGATCTACTTAAGAGTTTTATATTTTAACAAATTTAGTTATAAATGTTAATTCTAAAAATTAAATAATTCTTGCGTTTTTAATTATTGCACCCAATTATATGTAATATTTATATATAATAACCATTATTTAATAAAAACCATTATTTATAGATAAATAATTGTTATTGTTAAATAACATATAAAATTCTGATGAATAGTTCCATACCCTAGAGATGACCTAAGATAAACCCTAAAAACTTTTGTTTTGAAAATTATTTAATGCATTGTTTACAGCATTATTAAGAATACAGCATTGCATAAGAATACTTTCAATATTTTATAATAACTTTTAATCAATAGTAGTCTTGTTTATAACTGTGAACTTAAAGTAAAAATAAAAAAAATTTAAATTTAAATAAAAATTTTTTAAAATTAACCAAAAAAAACAAAGGGCACGTTTAAACAAACGGCTAGAAGTAAAATTCAATTAAAATCAGTCTCCGTCACAACATAGCATTTCCATGAGAAGTGGAATAGTAAGAAGTATGTAACTTTTATTTCACCTCCATTCAAATCAAATCAAAAAATAAAAGTTTAAACAAAACTTAAAATTAAATTGATTTTCATTCCATTAAAATAATTAACTTGATTTTTTACCTCAAGAATGTCTATAGAATTGAATAAGAATTTTATACAAAATTTTATTTTTCATTGTAGAGAAGGTGGCACGTACATATGTGACTATAGCTACACTGAAAAAATACTTTCGAAATTGTTACAATAAATAAAGTTATTCGTACAATGAAATTAAGGAAATTAAAAAATAAATGTTGATTTCATGACTAAAATAGTACTACTGTGATGCATAAAATGTATATGGTCATGGCCGTACCCTTCAGCCAATAAAGCAGCATGATTCTTTCTTGTTGCGCAATTGCTCTATTATACACTGACAGTCAAATCGCTTTTTATTTATTTTTATTCACTTTCAAATTAAAATTCTCCGTTTTTCTAATAATAAAATAATAATAGCCGTTTTCCTGATAATAATAATTCCTCTCGCTCAAAAATATATAATAGTCACTCACTTACTTCTCACTAGCGAGCAAAAATTATTTCCCATAATTTTGCGTATTCCTGCAACATTTTTAATTATTTCAACGAACTCAATGAAAAATTCAGGAGGAACTATGTAAGAAGTACTCCATTGTGAAATGCTTAGAAAACTGTGTAAATTTTTAATGTCATTCAGTTTTTTTTACTACTATTGCTGAAAGTTTTCGGATTCTTCAAATTTCTGAAGTAATTTTCGAAAAATATTTTTTACAGTGTTGTGGAAAAAAAAAATTAACTTCAGTTTGAAACTTCGAATTTTATCGGGAAATTTTATTAAAATTACAAACATTTCTTTTGAGTGGTTTAAAGAGTTCGTACTCTTAAAAAATGTAAAACTCGAGTTACAGGATTTCCAGTTTCTAACATTCTTAAATAGAATAAGAATATTTTCATTTTATATAACATTTTTCCTAAATTAAGATAAAAAGTGGCTGCTATTCAATTACTGTAATTTTAAATTCACACTCAGAAAAAAGAATCAAATAAAATTTATTTAATAATTAAAAGTATAACAGTTCTGTGATATTCTTTTCTTCAATTCATTCCCCTAATTTTTGTTTATTTTATAATTCTCATTAAATTATACTACTTTGATATGAAACACTCTACTTGTATTAAGAGAAGAGTATCTTTAACGCCATACAAGCAAACAAATATCATGAAACTTACAAGTGAACTAAAAAGTACAAAAAAGAAAATTTTTAGGTCACGTTCCTTATTCATTTTTATGTTTAAAAATTAATATACGTACAGGTACATACGTTTCATACATATGGGCTTCTTTATGGAACAAAAATGTTGAAGATTGATCCTTAAATGATGGTTTATATCCTGTCTCACTTTTATACATAATTTTCCTTTGCTTTTCAAACTTTTTAAATGAAATGTTATATGCGTCACGTCAATCAGTTGTACGAGAAAAAAAAAAACAGAAATAAAATAAAATGAAAAATTCAATATAACGGTAGAATAAACACGATAAAGTAGTGAAAGTACAGTTATGTACTTATTCATATGTACGTGTATGACCAGAACATATTTATTATTAAGGATAAGAACCTTTAACTTAATAGCCACTTAATTGTACTGTTCTTTTTTTTGTTACTTTCTTGCATTCTAAGTTAATTTATTTCAATCAATAAATCAATTCTGAACCCTAAATTAAATAGTGGTAATAACCTGTAATTTTAAATGTTTGTATATAGGTATATGTAAAAAAAAAAGTAAAATAATAATTGTATACCAGCTTTAAGGGTTTAATATTTTGCTATATTGGCAGCTTTTCCTCTTTGTTTCAATATTTAACGTTAAAATTTAGTATAGGTATTGTTAAATACGATTAATTATAGGAACTTTCATTATCACCCTACAGGTATGCATTAACTTTTTAAAAATTTTAATATATCCGTACTTGCCATTTCTATCTTTATGACCGGTATATTCTGGAAAATTAGCAGAAATTATTCAAATTTGGTTTAAAATTTTCATATGACGCACATAAAGTGAAACTAATACACTTAAGACATCTTATATATATACGCTCCATTAAATTTAGTCAAATGTATTATGTGATAGCATGAACAATTACTTTTTTAATTTGGAAACGTTCTTGCAACAGTGTGTCATTAAGTGTCATCTGACTTATCTAACTTATTACATATTAAAATCGAAAACTGGTCATATTTGGCACTTTATTTCATGAAGTCTGGAAACTAATGTATTCTTTCTTTTTTAAATCAACTGTTTTAGATTTCTAGAATTCACCTAAAGATGATTTTGATTTTATTGTTATAATTATTAAACAGACTTCTGTTTCACTCTTAAGCTAAAAACGAATCGATTCTTCATAATATACAAGTTCTTATTTATTCGAATGAAAAATTAATAGAATTTTTTATTTACACATATATTCAACTGATCTACTTACTTAATCAGACGAAATCTTTTATAAATAAGTTAGAACATATTTTCTAATAAAAAATTTTAATTAAAAATTAAATAAAATTAAATATTTTATTTATATTTTATTTAATTAATTTGTTTTCATATTTTTCAGTTTGTGCTGGCAATATTGCGCAGATGAGATGTCGAAACTTTAGCTGTGATACCCAATAATATTGACATTTTAAACAAAATACAAAGTAAATCTAAAAGTCATGAACTAAGATGAATCTGTTTTACTTCTTATTCTAACATCTTACAATTGAATACATCAACAGCTCAGCTCAGGAAAACCGTATATTCCAGTCAAGAAATTACAAACGGATTAGGTGTAGCAGAAAAATAAATAATAACTTCAAATTTGAATAAAAATAATAAAAAAATAATTAATATTTTATTTATATTTACTGATTTTATTCCCCTCAATCAATCTCTTTTTGAAAACGATTTCTTATCAAAAAGAGCTAATTTAATAAACCTTCCACAACCCTGTTTTGTAAAAATCTTCAAACAAAACTTTTATTACATCTGTTGAATCAAATTTTTTAACTTTATTTTTATTGGATGTATATTCGAAGTTTTAGTTATTTATAGGCACATGATTCTTAAAACTTAAAGTTGAATAAATTCAAAAATACCGGCTTTCGCTACGAAGCAGTTGTATGGAAGCTCACCGAAACGAGCCATGCGTATAAAAACGAAAGCAAAACCAAAATATTGCATTGAATGAGACAATCTTAAAAATTTAAAGCCAATCGGAATTGTAGAAGCATCCGCGGTGTGAGTTAAAGGGTTCTACAAAATACATAGAGCTCGCGTAAGGTGCTGAATAGAATTTTTAGAATAAACTCTAATTATAATCTAACATATTATGCAAATAACTTTCTAAAAGCAAATTAATAAGAAACCAAAGACGATATGTTCAATTCCATTCGAAAATGCTGTGTTTCAAAAACCATTCTCAGAAATTCTTTCCTTGCACTCTACCCTTTATACAAAGATTTTTATAATTATATTACTCTTAAGTGGTGTTTTATTATAGGAGGCTAGTTTTTTCTCGCAAAAATTGCTTCACAAAAAACGAGGGAGCACAATGTTCCTTTAAATATTGTGTGGTTTTTATTATTATTTATTTATAAAAATTTATGCAAACCATTTGCAAATATTTAATATTTTTTTTTTTAAATAAGTACTTTTTTTTCCATAAACGATTCATGATAAATTGCCCTAATTAAGAATCTTTTATTTGAAAATTATTTCAAGAAGACTTTGAAAAAATATATTGAAGCCATAAATCATTTTTTTATTTTTATAATTTTTTAGAATTTCATTTGATTTCAGTTATAAATTATAAACATGGAAACTGGTAATCAAAATATTTACCTTATACGCGTTATAATAATTTTGAGTTATGATGAAAAGTAGTACATATTTTAATTTAGATAATAAATACTTAATTTTATCAGGAATTGAACTGAATTTTTATCGTAATTTTATGAATTTACGTACACAGGAGTACGTAGTATAGGAACACATTCTCGTGTACCCTATATTAAATAATTATATTCCAACTGATTAAATTTTTATTTTATCTAGAAAAAGATAAAAAGATAAAAAAATTATGGGATTATCGACTTGCATAATTATGGGAGCTATTTGTTTTTTTTTATTGGTTTCACAAAATTTATTCCGAAAACAAAAATTTCTTGATTATTTTGTTATCTTTATTTCAGGAATAAAAATTACAAACGATAACACCGCATTTCTCTAACTCTTCGTTTCTTCCGTTTCTAAATAATTTTTATTGTAATTGCAATATTAACGTAATCGCAAACAATTCACAATATTGTTTTTTGTGGAAATTATAACCGGATTATTGTGATAATTAAAATATCACAAAATATTTAATTAGAGTTGTCTATATAATAAGAAATAAATATGTAATTCAGTGGTCTTTAGGAAGAACAATTTTCTAAGTCGAAAGATTTCTCAAAATTGACAAGTAGTACGCTAGCTTAATTTAAAAACAACATAGACTAAACCAGGTAGCATTTGAATAATTCAGTTTATTTCAATAATATAAATGACAAACAATGAAAATTAATGGAAACCGAAAATCATTGTACATAATTTTAAATTATTCAAAGATTATTTTGATTTAAATATATTATGAAGATAATTATAATCTTATATTATCGCGAATAAAAAGGATTACGGAAATTATTTTAATAAAAACAAAATCGTCAAAATCAAAATTATTAACTTAAAAGATGAGCTATGCAATAAATTATAAGATGCAAAAAAAAAGGATATGAGAATAATATAGAAAATTTTTCAATAAAATATTGTCATTTCATTATTTTGTATTATCCTTTATACCTTCATCAATATTACTCTCTATTACTCCAACAGCAAAGTAAACACATACATATAACCATTGCAAAATATTACAATACAAAATGAAAAATTCTAAATCATTTCTAAGGAACGAGAGAATGAAATTTCATGAAAGGTAAAGCAAAAATTTATTTAAGAATAATTATACCACGTCATTTCTTCTTATCAGCATTATTGTGAATATTCTAATAAACGCAAATGATTTAAAAATTAAGAGAAAAAAAAATAAATTCTCTTATCTCTTTAAAATTCATTTCCTTATTTCATTCCCTTTACACAGTTTACAATACAAATCGTATGTTGACTAGGTTGGTAGATAAAATATTCTATATACTTAAAAGTATAAGAATTACGATATTAATAACCAAAATTTTATTATAATATTATATTAGAAAATCAGAATAGCTCGTTTATTATGCTTTGGTTTTGAATTATATTAGAATTACTAACAACCTATTTAATTTAAGAAAAAAGCTTCTAAGTGCAACGACCCTTGTCTTATGGGGTGTTGGAAACCCGAATTGGCCGAAAATTTTATTTTGATTTAACAATATAAATCCCGAAAGTTTGTTTTCGTTTTACAATTTGTGGGCAAGCAGCGGTCATTTTAAATTAATATTTTTTTATTTCTAAGTTATTTGAAAATGTCATAAAATGGCATAAAATGTCATATTGCAGTATACAACACGGAATACTTAATATAAATTACTTAGAAATTTTTAAGTTGATGTTATAGCTGACTTTCCCACATTACTATTTAAGTATTTATTTCCCATGTATCATTTTACTCTTTAATTTGAGCTATACAACATGATAATTGAACTTTAAAAATAAATTTTATATGTTTGCCGAACTCATATGGTTTTGGGCTTGTACAATACTTGTAGAACATAAAACAATGTTGTATACTCGTGTACAACGAAACCAAAATATTTTGATAAATCAAGTCAAGTGTATTTTTCCGAAACTGTGTTATGTTTACATCGTTGTTTATCAATGCAATGCATATTTATACTTAGAACCTGTGTGTATGCAAGTTCATACTGTATGAAAGCGTATAACAATTTTAAAGATGCAGAAAATTTTTAATTTAAACATTGTTATAATTAACTTTCCCGATTGAAATAAAAACCACATCTTTACATATTACCCTGTAAGTGTATAACTGATTTGGAATTTCTTCCTAAAATAAAATATGTTCAAACACTTTAAGAAAATTTATATTTCCGCAAATAGGGACAATCAAAATTTTCTCCACCACACCTGTATCAAATAAAACCGTTTCAACAAATCATATAAATTTATTGGCATAGACATTTATCCATTAAAATTTCTTTGCCAAGATGAAAATATTGGCTAAAAGCAGATTAATTTTGTATTCCTTGAAAGAATACAATAATTGTACAATAATATTCTTTTAATATTCTTAATCGAGTTTTTAAGAGCATCTGCTATAGACATTATAAATTTTTGAAATCGTAAATTTGCAATAAAATGAAAAATCTAAATAAATTTTAATATATTTGTATAGGAAAAACAAAAGATAAGCAGTTAATTTTAAGTATTTAACCTTAGAACAGACCATTAAAACCTCAACACCCTGTTTCTAAAGCAAAGGTAGTTTAAAACATCCATCATACCAAATCTATTTCATGAAAATTTATTTTATTTCTTATATCCAGAGAAGTATTCAATTAAAAGGAACATACAAGAAATACTAGTCCCTAGCTCCAGGAACCTTCTAAAAGATTACGGGAAAAGTTTGGTTAGTTAAGGTGACAATCCGTCGCACCCCAATTAGTACAAATGTGACTGGTCCCGCTAAAAACCGGGCACTTGCGGAAATAGTGAAAAATGGTTTCCTTGTTATCCACTTCCCGGCAACCAAGACACGATGTGTTGAAGGGCAATCCCAGCCTAGCCGCACAATCTCCAAACGGCTGACGTCCCATGTAAACTTGCGTAAGGCAGGCAATATCTTTTCGTCATCTTTCATGCCCCCCGCCCATGTGGACAGGGTTTTACATCTGCGGTCGGCGCATGATAATTAATGCATACATACATTTATTTACATTGTTTTAATGGGAATAAAAACCCGTTCCGGCAGTGGAAAAGGTAATATAATAAAATAATTGTGCAATAAGTAAATCCTCACAGATCTCTTGATTTAATGAACATTCAAGAAAATTATTAAGAAGTTCGCAAAAATTTCAATAAGTCTTCTTATAAAATGGGCAGCATCGGCTTAAAGGAAAAAAGATTTTTTGGGTAGTAAAGCTCTTGTAGAATGCCCTTAACTCCTACGAACTGTGAGCCCAATTGATTCTCGTTGATATCCTAATTATTTGGAAAAAACATTTTTTATTTAATTTAATGTAAACCAACAAATTCACCAAAACAAAATTGCATTATACTTCTAAATAGAAATTGCATTTAAGATTAAAAAGTGTTAAACAACCACCCAGACAACTTTGGCATTTTCTTCTAAGTTAACCTAATTTATATTGTTTAAAGTATAACCCAAAATGAAACCAAAAACTAAAGCACTTTTAAATTCACAATATTTTGTATGTTCTAGAAAATTTAAAAAAAAAGACAAAAAAGGATAATACCGTAATTTATTATATAAAAATTTATTCTATCCCAATTTTTTCAAAGTACACTTCCACATATGCATAAATTCACGTAAATCCTTAGAGATTTTTGGAAAACTGAATAATCAGTTTGAATACGATAATACCCTCAGTATACTGTTATTGAAAGTATCGAAAGGACATCAAAATTTTTGACATAATATTGAAAGGATAAATAATTCAGTTTTGTTTTCATTTTGTTTTTCAATTTGTTTAAGCATAACCTTAAAAAGGAAAGCAAAATTAAATAAAGTATAAGAAGCTTTAAGTTTTTCAAAAAATAATGAAT